AGTAAATATGTTCTTACAAAACAGATTTCTTTTTACATATTTTACATGAGAATTTATTTTAAATAAACAAATAGATAGACAGTCTATGTTCTATTTGAGAAATATTTTAAAATAGCATTTAATTAAAAAAAATAATTGTATACATTAAAAATGTAAAAAAAAAAACAAAGTAAAAAAATTTTAAAATATTTAATCAAATATCAACTCATATCAATGACGTAGATACATATATCAATGACGTAAACAACATTTTAAAGACTTATCAATAAATACAGTGTATATCATATAAATACTGTATCAAATCTATCTTTGGCTTTTTAATTATGACGTCATATATGCTGTTGATTATTTTTTTAAACAGGATGCGAGCTTCTTTCATCATTTTTTTAGGTTCTAAACTAATTTAATTGTTAATTCGAGTTTAGCATGTACATTTACACGGAATTATGACGATTTTGGAAAATTTTTATAGATTTTTTTTTAAGTCATGGCTTCCCGCCTTGCTTGGGGGGAAACGCTTAAAAAAAAAGAAGAAAAAAAAGATATTCAACAAAAACACAGTACAAATCAGCTATAGTTGCACCGATAACATGACACAAATAATAAAAAACACATCAGGAAAACAATCAACAAACCGCCTGAACAAATAAAATCCACGTCTAACTGCAGAACAAAGAACGAATCTCCCTTAAACGATAATTTCTTCCAAAGCAATGCAATGTACCAAGCTACTGTAAAATCAGCAGAGAGCGAAGAAAAATATACATAGGTGTAACTGAAGGACATTGGAAACAAACAAACTATGCAAGCAAATCATTCTTTACAGATAGTAAATATGCGAAACGCACTATTCTTTCTAAACATATCTGGGAGATAAAAAACAAAACGAAATCATACCAAAAATAACATGAAAAATAAGGAAAACACATCAGTCTACAACAATAAATCCAAAAACTGTAAACTCTGTCTCGTGGAGAAAATAATTATAATCAGCTTCCTAGACAAACACAAATTAAAAATAAACGATCGGAACTTATCTCAAAATGTAATCACGAAAAAGTGTCTCTCTTACGTTACTTAAAAATCGAAAAATAAAAACGACGAATATTAAATAATAATATAATATAATAATAATTGTATAATATATAAAAATACGAAATAAAATAAAAATAATAAGTAAAATAAATTGATCATAAATAATAAATAAGTAAACAAATTAAGTAAATAATAAGCTAATTAACAAACTATCGACGCTGGAATAAACACAAATACACGTAATAATAAAAACAAACAATAAAATAACCAATAATCAATATAACATGCTAATAACAATCTATAACAGGGTAACAAACAACAATGTAATTAGCAAAAATTGCATCCGCGTCCACAATTATTTCCACCCAATACCCACTAAAATAATTCGAAACATAACCATTATCGCCCACCAATTAGCAAGAATAATACAATAGGCCGACCCAGAAGGCATCTCTGATCGGTTTATATAAATAGTCGTGAAAAAAAAAAAATCAACAATCCTGGCCGGACGATTGCCTTTAATTATGAAACAGATGCGTGAGTTGACTTCAGTGTCCACCTTTATATTTCCATACAGACTAGCCCTCATATTGAGCACTTAAAACCATAAATACAGCATACCTCAAACTATATATATATATATATATATATATATAATTATTTATTTAAAAATATGATTCCAACACGCTAAAAAAAGAAATTTTCCTATTTTCTATATATTTTTCACACACACACACACACACACACACACACACACACATATATATATATATATATATATATATATATATATATAGCCGATTTGAACATCAGGATCAATTGTTTACATTTGGATACGCTTTGAGGAGATATGAATGTACGCGAGAGATTCATGGCAGATTGTAGTTTAAAGACAGTAAAATCAACCTTGCTAACCGAACGCTCCTCTGTGGCCAAACCGGTTAAAGGCACGTCAGGCTATATGACGGTTGTGTATAGGATACAGATTTGATTCCTGTCGTAGAACGAATAATTTCTATGAAAATTTCTCGGACATTCAGGCCGGTAAATGTTATTAATACTCATTATTATAAACAGAGCATTTACTTAAATATTTGTATCTATAAAAAGAATGTATAAACATAAAAATGTCTTAAAATAATTGTCGGACTTTGTCCATTTCATTATATATATATATATATATATATATATATATATATATATTATTTGGTAATCCCTATAGATAATTCAAAATAGGATATAGATCAAGAGAGAGCTCAATGTAAGAACAGAGCAAATGATAATGTCATATAGCCTGACGTGCCTTAACCGATTGAACCACAGAGGATCGTTCAGTTAGCAAGGTCATTTTACTACTTTTAAACTACAATCTTCCATAAATCTCTCTCGTACATTCATATTTGCTCATGTAGTGTATCTAATATGAAAGCGCAGAGTTACCATTGGTTTTTAAATTCTCCGCTTT